ACAGCAGAAACCCTGTCTCAAAAACAAACAAAAAAATGTTTTTCAAGTCGCAAGAATGTTAACCAACATAGCTCATTGTAGAAAACAATACTTTCATCTTTGCAATATTAATGGTCAAGTACTCAGTGAATTAAGGAAACAGATCCCCGTGTATATTCATTCTGCTTTGAGTGGAACCTTAGATTCCTAACAATAGGTGTCTCTTGAAGGAAAAGGGGTGGGAATCTTAGTATGTCCAAGCGAATTTAAAAATATCTCAATTTTTTGCAAATTCTTGCCTCTTTCCTTGGACATTGTTTTTGCTGCTCCAGAGAAGGTGGAAGATAAATAATGCCATTCCTACTAAGCTATTATTTGCTCTTTGAAAGACTGAATATTAAGGTAACCTTCAAGGATTGAGATTGGCAGTTGGAAAGCAGTGGGCTCCAACAGGCAAAACTTCTGCTTCCATAGAAAAAGGGGCCAATTACTGACAGTGCTTTTTCCTTGTCTCCTTTTCTTCACAGGTAGTTTAACCCCATGTCTTTACAAGTTTCCTGACCACACCCTGAGTCATGGGTTTCCTCCCCTACACCAGCCTCTACTGGCTGAAGACCCCACAGCCTCTGAATTCAAGCAGGAGCTCAGGCGGAAAAGTAAATTGGTCGAAGAGCCAATAGACATGGACTCTCCAGAAATCCGAGAACTTGAGAAGTTTGCCAATGAGTTTAAAATGAGAAGAATCAAATTAGGTATGCATTATTAGGAGCAGTGAGGCAAACAATTTAGTTTGCAAAATACTTTACTATTGTGAAGCTTTTTAAACTTTGCTTAAAAATATAAGCTCTCTCTCCATATCTCTATTGTGGATTTAGTCAGATTTTGAAAATCTACAAAAATCTATACGCTTATAAATTTTTCATAGCTCAAAGACATAGAATTTAAAACTAATAGTATTGAAAATTATACCTACCTCAAGATTATTGCTGGTCTGCCCCTCTTGTCTATATTTTTTAAAATTTTTTATTTATTTATTTATGTGTGCGCGTGGCCTGCTCAGCCC